GGGAGATGCTGCCAGGCAGGGGACTCCCATGGGCCAGCTCCCCACGAGGTCCCAGCAAACCCCATCCCTGTTGGGCAGTAAATAGGGACTGAGGTAGTCCTGCTCGGGTGCTGACGCTGCTTCCCTCCCTGGTCCGGCAGTGAGGGGAAGGGGTTTGGGGGCTGGTTTTGCCAGATGGGCACCACACACGCGTGATAGGGCTGCTATGCCACGGCAGGTGGAAGAGCTTGATGCAGTGCTCTGGAAGATGGTGGCAGTGGGTGAGCTCCAGAGCCAGGGATTTACCCAGACAGACCAGACCTCCAGCAAGAGCAGTGAGTGCCCAGCTCCCAACGGGTCCTGGGACCCGACCCACCACTGACCTGCAAAGAGGCCATGGCAAGCAGGAGCTGGGCTTGGGGTGGAGGATGCTCATGACTTGGGGTGAAGGGTGCCCATGGTATGAGGTAGAGGGTGCCCATGATGTGGACTAAGGCGTTCAGCTCCCAGGCTGTGCTCCTAGAACTGAATTCAAAGCCGAAGGAGAGCCTGTGAGAAGAGATGTACATCTCCCTATCTTTAAACTTTTTGGCTGTAGCCAAGTGCTGCTGCAGCCCCTCGCATGGGTGTCTTTTCCTTTTTCTCCCAGCTTGCTTCTGGAAATACTGTGTCACCAAATGAGGGGTACAGGAGGAGCTCTGCTTGCCACCTGCCTGCCAGCCTGCTCCCTGCCACCACCATCCCAGTGCCTTCCGGCCAGCCCACCACAGCATGACCCCACATCTCGCTATGGGCTGGTTTGCACAGAGCTTTGAAAGGTCTCTGGTCCCTTGTGGGGAGAAGGGGAGGGGGTCTGCAGCAGAGGAGGGGTGTTGTGGGGTAGGGGGAGAGTTCCATGAGGATGTGGGGTGCAGGACAGTGTTTCTCCCATACCAGCAGACCTCCAGGACCCATGGCAAGGCAGACCTGCCACCGTGGCCTGGCAGGAACATGCTGGCTACCAGCAGGAGCTGAATAAACACCTCGCACCGGAGCAGCATCCTGTGGTTACTCCATCCTCACGCTGCGCAGGGTCCTGTGTCCTCCCACTGCCACCTGCATGGTGTGGGCAGATCACAGTGCATGTGCTCTGAGGAGGGGACGTCTCTCCTGCGGGCAGGGGCTGCCACGTGCATCCCAGTGGTGCAGGGTGGCAGAGACTGGGGGCTACAGCTTCACTTTTGATAAATCTCAAAAGGGGGGGAAGCCCTCTCCACCCACTGCATCACCCTCCACCGCCTGGTGGCCTTGACCCGTGTGCGGACAGTACACAAGCAAGGCGTATTAAAATATAGTTTATTGCTGTTCTTAGTTTAAAAAACCCAAACAAACCAAAACCCATTAATAACAAAACCAGTCCCCAAACCCAGTGCTATCAGAGGCAGGCTTGCAAGGACACACCTTTTAGTGCAAAGAGGGAAGTGGCAGCGAGGGCTGGAGGGGTCTCTGCCATCACCGTGCCCCTGCAGGACCCACCACACTCACTGTACAGTATTTTTTTGCCCACAGGGCTGGCTGGGGAGGGCTGGCTGAATTCACAGGCACTGGCAGGAGCCCTTGGGGGAGCTGGAGGTATCAGATAGGGGAGGATGGGATGTCATGGCCGTGCAGAGTTTGTATCAGCTACACTGGACAGGAAGGCACAATGCTGAGCCAGGGAGCACCAAACCTGCCCACGTATCTCCTACAGACACAGCGCTTTGCAAAGCAGCTTTTGCCTGCCTGCTCTCTTAGACTGTCCAGTACTGGGGTGTGGAAACCAGACGGATGCCCTACCCCATGCCTCCATCTCCCAGTCAGGCACCTGAAGCGTTGGTGGGGACTGGAGAGGGGTGATGGAGCTGGAGCTACACATGGCTGCATCTCCTGCAGTGTCCTGCGAGGCAGGGAGAGGTTTCTTAGCTCACAGGAGGCCAGACAGGACCTTGCAGCCAACAGCACATGGCCCTGGGTCTGGCACACAAGGGAGGGATGCCCTGATCCTCAATCAGCCCTTCATGAGTCCCTGCACCCCTCCTTCCCTTCCACAGCACGTCCTGGCACTTTCATGCCAGGCATCATCCCCAGCATCGTCCTGCCCCCATGTCCTAACAGGGAGTTCGATGCACGTTACAGCTCTCTAGCAGTCAGAACAATTTGTCACCGCAATAAACTACCAGGGGTGTCTTCAGATGGAACCTGGATGCCTTGGTGGAAGAGAGGGCTTGCCCAAATGCAGGCTGCAGGGTGTTGTGCAGAAGGGCAACTGCACGAATTCAAAGAGCTCCAGCCCAGATGATGCGCTGGGATGCTGGGACACCTCTTCCTGAGCCTACGGGATGGCTGGGACCACACAGGGCTGGCAGAGCAGAGCAGCTCCAGCAGTGAGGGTGTGTGTGGCTGTGGGGGCCTCCTGCGGGGGGTGGGGGGGGGGGGGTGCGCCACCCCTTTTTTTTGGGGGGGGGGGGGTCTCACCTCTTCCACCAAAGTGCTGCTGCGGAAGGCTAGCGCTCAGCTTTTCCTGTGATGCATGGTCACAGGCCTTGAGGCCCGTTGCCAGGGAGGAGGGATGCAGTTGCCACTGCAGCCACGCAGGGACTGGTCCCTACATGCAGTCAGCACTGACAGCGCATGGGGGCTGCAGCCAGCCGTGGAGGAGGAGACGGGAGCGGCGGGGTGCTGTGAAGCAAGGCGGTATTTCTGAAAGGCGGCAGGTAGCGATGCCATAAACCCTCTCCAGTCCCTCCCTCAGCCGGGGTTTGGTTGTGTCAGGACTGCGGAGGTGGAGGGCTCGGCCAGGGGCAGTGCTGCCAGCGCACCCCGCAGTGGGGTTAGGTCATCTTCCTGGCGACGCTGGCGTAAGTGTGCTCGATCTCCTCATCCGCGGGACACGTGTGGCTGAACTCATCACAGGCATAGGCGTTGTTGAGGTAGCGCCAGACGCCCGTCATGTCTGCTGGGATCTCGAAGTCGCGGGCGGAGGTGGAGGGCTCGGCCAGGGGCAGTGCTGCCAGCGCACCCCGCAGTGGGGTTAGGTCATCTTCCTGGCGACGCTGGCGTAAGTGTGCTCGATCTCCTCATCCGCGGGACACGTGTGGCTGAACTCATCACAGGCATAGGCGTTGTTGAGGTAGCGCCAGACGCCCGTCATGTCTGCTGGGATCTCGAAGTCGCGGTACTTTTTTGCTGCGATC